AATGGATTTGGTCTTCCAAGTAAGTTAAGATCATAACCTTTTGGTTGTTGTTTCCTGCCAGACAAAGAAGTGGTTTCACACTCAGCCTTTTCCAGACCACCAAAAGACAATAAGACACTAAAGCAACCCACCCCATATGCAACTCCTGCCAACTCCAAATCTCCTAAAACAATAAGCTGAACAAGGCCAGGAGATGGGGTTTATGTGAGGTCCACCACCTCTGCCTGAGAATGAATCATAAAACCACTAGCACTCCATTCCCCAGCCTCACACTGCCTAGCCCCGACCTACTCGATATAATGAAAATGAAATCAGGAATACACTGAACCTAAAACCTCAAGTACATTTTAAATCTTGTTTTAGATCCATCTATATTAACAGAGGTCAGGTAACTTGTTTATTCAAACTAACTTATTCTTACTGGTATAATGACAAAAGTGGTCAGACACATTTTTCTACTTAAAAAAAAAACAAAACCTGACAAAGAAGTACATTCTAAAACTCAGTAAAGAATATGGAAATAGCTCACAATAAACTTTGCCTTATAAAATAACTAATGAAGGAAATAACCCACTTATTTGGCAATGGGAAACAACGATTTGTATATTATTACATATTTGGTAGGTCATTAATTAGAAGCTCTTTTTATTTTCTAGCATAGCATTTTTCAAAAATGTCTTACAAAGAACACCAGTGCAACAAGAGAAAAGCAAGTCACGTAAGTTTGAGAAGCTCTGCCTTCTCTGGTCCCCTTCTTAGAAATGACTAATGCATATTTGCATGTTAAAGATTGAGACTGTAACTCTGTGGAATCCCTTGTTTCCCCAAGTTCACTTGGCACTGCAACCCTTTTTCTCTCATAACACATATCAACAGCCCACAAATGGCTGTTCTGCCAAGCGCAATTTGGGAAAAATTTCTTCTAGAAATGGGATATGGGCCAGGCGTGGTGGTTCACACCTGTAATCCCAGCACTTTAGGAGGCTGAGGCAGGCGGATCGCTTGAGCTCAGGAGACTAGCCTGGGCAACGTGGTGAAAACCCTTCTCTACCAAAAATACAAAAAAAAAAAAAAAAGTAGCCAGGCATGGTGGCACATGCCTGTAGTCCCAGCTATTCAGGAGGCTGAGGTGGGAGGATCACTTGAACCTGAGAGGTAGAGGTTGCAGTAAGCCAAGACTGCACCACTGTACTCCAACCTGGATGACAGAAAAAAAAAAAAAAAAAAAGAAAGAAAAAGAAGAGAAAAGGGACATCGTAAAATGGTTTAAGAGCTGAGACTCCAGAGTCAGCCTGATTCAAATACCAGCTTCACCATTTGTTAGCAGTATGACATTGGGTTTGTCCCTCAGTTCCCCCAGGTAAGATGGGCAAAGTAATAGCACCTACCTCCTAGGCCATGGGCCTTTCCATCTGAGTGGAACAGTCTTCTAAGATCCTCACATGGATGGTTCCTTTTGGTTATTCAAGTCTCAGTTCATACTGTCACCCCCTCCAAGAGGCCTTCCCTGACAACCCAATATAAAATTAGCCTCACCAGATCACCAGTGCTTCACTCTCTTCTTCATGACATGCCTCTATTTAACCACAAAATTGTCATCTATTTTCCCCCAATAGAATGTAAGCACCATGAAGGTACATTTTAATAATGATCATTACTATATCCCAAAACAGATCTTCAATAAGTATTCATCCAACGAAGGAATGAATAGAAGGATTAATGAATGAATGGATGGATGAATGCATAAATGAATGAATGAATGAGATGACTCAGTGTGAATCCATCTAAAGCATTCTTCATGATGCCTGACACATAAGCTGACACACACAGATGCTATTTTGAAAACTTCTGGGGAATCGTGAGTGGTTAATACACACATAATCATAATTCTCCCAATAAGTAACATTCTGACTCCACAGTGTATCTTCTTGCTGTAGTAGAGGTAAACATTTCACAACATTCATTCAGAGGTGTGCTAGTAAACAGGCTTTCAGGAATGGGCAAGGGAATGGGGAAGGTAGACCCTAAGAGTAGCATCTTCCAATTTCCATGGTATAAATACACCAAATATGACCAATTTCAGGCTATGTGTGGTTTAACATCAGGATCACGAGATTCCTGAGAATTTAACAAATTGCTCTCACAGGACTGTAGAACCTTTCTCATGGGAATGGTCCTTTCAGGCCTTGGAGTCTTGTTTGTTGAGTTCAAGTTTAAGATGAGTTTTTTTATGTACAGATATATTTTCCAAATTCTCCCCCTTTTGATGAGCTAAAATAAGGGATACCTACTCGTTTTGGTCTGATGCTCAGGGAAACTAGTTGTATGTACTGGGCTGCACTTTCTGTACCCTCTTCTGTGTGCTTTCAAACTGGTGTTTAAGGATCTAAATATGATCTATATCCACACCAGACCATTGTGAGAACCAGCCAATCTCAGAAAACCCAAGATGAATTGTGTTTAGATTCATTTAAATGGAGGGAGCCACATAAGGCACCATCTAGTAAGCACTATCAATGAGCAGAATCTAATTGCAGAAGAAGAATGACCACCCTGACCACAAGATCCCAAGAAGGAGTGAGAAATGGTGCTGCAGATGGAGATTTCTCTGGCATCACAGCCTTGCTACCCCTTGGCATCAAAATAAAACAGTAGCTTTTTCCAACTCTAGTCATCCTCTATCAACTGCAGTTTTGAGATAATACAAGAAAAATTCCAAAATCCACAGTTAATCTACATGCAAGTAACAACATGCCAGTAATTGTTGCTCCTCTTCTGTAAACTACATGAGAGGTCTATGAAGTAAGACATGGAGAAAATTACTTTCTGCTGTACTGTATTTGTTATCTATGGCTGTGTAACAAATTACCTCAAAATTGAGCAGCTTAGAACAGTACACATTTATTATCTCACAGTTTCTGTGGGTCAGGAATTCAGGCACAGCTTAAGTGGGTCCTCTGCTTCACAGTCTCTCACAGCCTGCAATCAAGATGTCAGCCCAGGACCTGTCATCGTATCTGAAGGCTTGACTGGGAAAGGATCCACTTCCAAGCTCACTAAATGGTTGTTACCAGGTTTCCATTCTTTGTGGCTGTTGAAATGAGTGCCTCTGTTCCTTACTGGGTGTTGGCTGGAGGCCACCCTCAGTTCCTTACCACATGGGCCTCTCCACATGGCAGCTTGCTTCATCAGAGCATGCAAGTATGAAGGTAATAGAGTCTGCTACCAAGACGGAAGTAACAGTCTTACGTAACCTAATCATGGAAGTAACATTGACATTCTATTACTTTTGCCATATTCTATCATTTCAGAGCAAGCTATGAGGATCAACCAATACTCAAAGAAAGAGGATTATATAATGGTGTGAATTCCAAGCAGCAGGGATTATTGGAGACCATCTTGGAAGTCTTCTCACCACATTCACCCTCTTGGAAGATGGATGGGAAGATACTGTGGTTGTTCCCACCCACATGGGAACACCCATCCCAAAATGGGTTGCTCCCATTTTGGCCTAACCAAAACATCTCTTTTTTTTTTTTTTTTTTTTGAGACGGAGTCTCGCTCTGTCACCCAGGCTGGAGTACAGTGGCGCGATCTCAGCTCACTGCAAGCTCCACCTCCCGGGTTCACGCCATTCTCCTGCCTCAGCCTCCTGAGTATCTGGGACTACAGGCACCCGCCACCGTGCCCGGCTAATTTTTTTTTTTGTATTTTTTTAGTAGAGACGAGGCTTCACCGTGGTCTCGATCTCCTGACCTTGTGATCCGCCCGCCTCGGCCTCCCAAAGTGCTGGGATTACAGGCGTGAGCCACCGCGCCCGGCCCAAAACATCTCTTTAAGATTTTCGATATGAAACCAAGCCATGTGGTTTCCCAAGCATGTTGGTAAAGTATCATTAAAACAAAACAAGGAAGAATAAGAGTAGAGGACATTAAATTTGCAGACACGAAAGTCTTTTCCTAAGTTCTAGGCAAATATAACCTACATCAGAGCAAATTCCTGGGAGCATCTGCATTTTTGCAAATCCCAACATGGAAGCCATGTCTTCTGACCAACCAAACAAGTGACTCACAAGAAGCACCACCATCTGAACAGGTATACTGTCAAGAAATCTAGTTTGGTCTAGAAGCAAGTATCTTCTAGAATTTTTATTTATTGCTGTAGAATAGTTTGAAAACATTTTTAATGACATTTTATTGCTTGTTATTTTCTGTGAGATCCTTGTCTCCCTACAGCAGTTTTGCCTGCATGATACTTTTAAGGTCCATATCCACCAGAGTGGCAAGGAACTGCTATAAAAATTTCAAACCTTGGCAGTCATCCACATTTTTTCTAAGCTCTACCTAACCACATATTCTCAGATACATGAGTATCCCAACATTGAATGGTGGTAAAAGGCCAGAGAGACTGCCTCTGAAGGACTTCAAATGATTTAACCCACTAAGGGCAAAACACATACTCAGAAAACCTGTAATACTCTGTCCTAGATGAATGTAAATGCAGACAAAAATTATCTTAATCCTAAACACTCAAAATTAATCTGTGAATTTTACCATTCTTTCCTAAATGCTTTACTTTCTGCAAATCTCATCCCCAATTCAGTAATAAAAATATTTAGGGTCATTGTGTTGCTAATCATATTTACTTTTTCCTTTAGAGAGGTGATATTTGATAAACAACTAAACTAAATAGTACCATACCTAAAAGACTCTGAAACCGCCACCTGTGGGAAAGCAATTGTAAATCACTTTAGAGTTGATATGTCCTGCATATGTTTGAATCGTGGATATGTGTTGAATAATAATGGAATGCATGTGCAGTGAGCAAAGACTAATACAAAATTCCAGTTTAATGGTCTTAAGCTGGCAGGAAGGTCATAAAGCAGATAACAAAGGGAATTTTGTTAAGGATGTAGATATCTTCCAACCTGTGAAAATAACTTGATAACATATTTTCACTTATAAATTAAGGCTGTGGGGAAATACAGAGAATGCTCTTACCTCTCTAAGATGTATGTTTTCCTTCTCTTTCTGGTCTAAAATCACTTCCAAGTGGCTGACCTGAGACTCAGCCTCTGCCATCCGTCGCGTTCGCTCATTGTCATCCTCTAGGCTTTTGGACGGCAAGCCTTTACTTTGTAACATCTCAAGAAGTTTTTTAATCGACTCATCTCGGGCATTGAGGGTTTGTTTCTGCGTTTCAATTCTCAGCTCCATTTCCTCTAATGTCTTCCTCAAAAGGAACAGCTCCTTGGCCTGCCTGTCGTGCTCGGCTTGGAGCCGCCTGAAGTTCTCCTCGGTCAGCTCGATGGTGAAGTGCTCCGCTCCTCGGTTGCCACTCTCTTGCTGGAGGAGGTGGTTGAGGTCTCTCTGGGTTCGCAGCTCATCTTGAAGGGCTTGGATTGTCAACTGTAGGTGCTGCAGGGAGAAAGATGGAGCAGGAGAGGAGACAGAAGGAAAAAAAGTCAATGAAAATGGCAAGTGCCGTTTGCTGCCACCACACTATGAAGATGGAATGTTAATCATGAGGTCCGGAGGGCCAGCCATGAATTCCTCCACGGTGACTTCAGAAGCATGGGACAGCACATGGAGAGGGGGAGATTAATTCAAGGATGCTTTCTGAATGTCTTGGGAGAAGAGAAATGCACACGTACACAGAAACAATAGATTAGTGTCAATCACAAGGGAAATTATACATCTACAGAGTTTTAATTTAGGAAGTGGAAAAGGTTAGAGGGAAACTTTCACAAACACACCTTCTTTATGCCCAGAACGCTCCAGACTCAGTATTCCTTGTTTCCTAAGGTATTCTTTATTGTACTATCCATTATTTCCTACGATCAATATGTGTTGATTTAAAAATGAAAATAATAGCATCCACTACAAGTAGACACAAACGAAGACTTTATTTTTTACAAATAAAGCTGTGAACAGGTTTAGTAAACAGGATTACTGCATCTGAAAGCAAAAGGGAATAAATGCAGGCACAGACAAACACACTCAAACACACAAGGAGGTGAGGCTGTACAAAGCAGAACAAACAAGCTGCAAAGAGTGGACAAACCTTGGTTCTTCTGGCATCCAGTAACTGAACAGCATGGGAAATGAAAAAAAAACGAAGCAAAAAATCAACACAAAGAAAAGTCTAGTGCAAGCAAAGGATACTTTACAGAAAGAACTTAATCAACATAAAGTACCTTCACAGAAGAAAGAAGAAAACAAAAGAAAAAAATTCTAATTACAGCAAAGACCTATAAGCTACACAGAGTTTATAGCATTGACATTTGATAGACATGGAAAAAAAAAAAAAAGGAAAGACCAAACCTGAGGTTTATCCCACCTTTTGTTTTCCTAAATCTCACTGACCCAGGAACCGAAAGTCTTGAAAGTGTTACCAGAGAGGGAAGCACCTGTTATTTTGGGTCACCATTTTAAGCAAAGTCAGGGTGAAAGCACCAGAGAAACAAAATAGTTATCAGATGTGAGAAAAGATACCCGTGCTTGAAGATAGTTGGTGAATTCAGCAATACCTTTTCCCATAGGACAAACACCCAGGCTGGTCAGAGAAGGTAGCCACAAGCCTGAAGGCATTTCTATCCTTATGGACAAGCCAAGATGCTTCCAAGACAGCAGCTATTCATTTGCCAAACACATGATCCTGCTTGTGAAACGAATACAATTCTAAGCACAGGAATCAAGAGGGATGTAAGACATAGCTCCCGCCCACAGGGAACCACGGTATTGTAAGGCATGGGTAATACTATATCTAACTTATATGAATATTGGAGCAGTCAACATTTTGAAATCTGTCTGAATTCCTACAGCTGACACTCAGTGGTATTGAGATCTTTCTGAGTGTGGCCTATATCCTGAAACTAGCACTGGGTGATGCAGCATCTTGATTATATTGTTTCTGGGTATCCAATTCATATCCCCATTTATGAATGTCCATTGAGAAATTCTTAGAGCCTTCTTATCTGTATACCACCGTGCCTCACAGGGTACTGAATGCAGTGAAAGAAACTGATATGTATTTAGTGGTGGAGATTATTCGTTTTTAATACAATGCTCCCCTATAAAGTGTAACATACAAAGTTGAGCAACCATCAACACAATACATTTTTTAACATTACCTCAGAAAGATACCTCATGCCCTTTAGAAGTCATTCCCCATCTCCTTCCCTTTCCCCAGGCCCTGGTAATCACTGATTTACTTTCTGTCTTTATGCCTGTTATGGACCTTTCATACCAATGGTATCATGCAATCGGTGGTTTCTTTCACTTAGCAGGTTTCCAAGGTTTATCCATGTGGTAGTGTGTATCTGTACTTCATTCCTTTTTATGGCTGAATAATATTCCATTGAACGAATATACCACATTTTATATATCCATTCATCAATTGACTCAGACACAAATATTCATAGCAGCAACATTCATATTAGTCAAAAAGTGTTAACAACCCATTTGTCAATCAACTAGTGAATGGATGAAATCTAGTATATCAATTTAATGGGATATTATTCAGTCCTAAAAAGGAATGAAGTGCTGACATACAGGATGACATGGATAAATCTGAAAACATTATGTCATGTGAAAGAAACCAGTCAGGAAACAATATGTACTGGAGAGGATGTGGAGAAATAGGAACACTTTTATACTGTTGGTGGGACTTTAAACTAGTTCAACCATTGTGGAAGACAGTGTGGCGATTCCTCAAGGATCTAGAACTAGAAGTACCATTTGACCCAGCCATCCCATTACTGGGTATATACCCAAAGGATTATAAATCACGCTGCTATGAAGACACATGCCCACGTATGTTTATTGCGGCACTATTCACAATAGCAAAGACTTGGAATCCACCCAAATGTCCATCAATGATAGACTGGATTAAGAAAATGTGGCACATATACACCATCCCAGGACAATGAAGGAGGTCATAATGACTTCTGTTTCTAGGCTTCCAGGAGACTGCATTTTCTGATAGGCCCTCCTCTACACTACAGCTAGATAAAAGCAAATATACTTTTCAAAGCATAGTTGAGCTTACAAGGAAGTAAGGGAAATCTCCAAGGGAGGGGCTGGGGGAGAGACCACTCTCTGTTCTCTCTTCCTCTTCTTATAAGGAGCAAATGCCAATCCAAGCACTGAGCTTGAGAGAGCGAACTGGGGCTCACTGAAGTGAGGGAACTGAGATTCTCCCAACAAGCCCATATTTGCAGAAGAGGCTAATGTGGTCCTAAGTGCCCCCTGGCGCCTAACAGATGCAAATGCAAATTCTTGTAAGGGGGACAGGCAGTGGGTGAGCAAGGACTGGGAAAGGCGATGAGGCAGAGAATAAAAGCCCTCAGGAGTTCAAAAAATTCAGATTAATGAAATACAAGCTTACAATAAAAAATTACCACAGACACAAGGAAACTTCCATGAGTGATGGCCATATGCAGAATACAAGGTGTTTTTGAAATGTTTAAGAAAATAAATAAAAATTTTAGAAGAAATATAAAATTGAAGAATCAGCACGGAAAAGTGACTTTCCAAAATTATCAACCAGATCTGAAAAAGAATAAAAATATACAGCAATGAAAAATATAGCATTTAAAGTGAAACCTAACAGATGGGGTAAGAAAAAAGAGAAAACTAGTGAACAAAGACACAATAGAGGCAAGCCACAAAGCAAAATGTTGGTTCTTTGAAATGACTGATAAAACAAACCTCTTCAGAAATGAGTACATATAGGAAATATTTAAAAGATGATATGAAAATACTGTTAACTTTGGGCCAACAAATTTTGAAATATCAAGAAAATGAACAAACGACTAGTCATACCTTACATAATCTGACTCTAGAAGAAACAGAAATCCTGAAGAGTTCTGCAGCTATTAAATAAATAGAATCAGAATTTTAAAACTCTTCCCGCAAAGAAAGCCCAGGTGACTCCAATTTGCAAAAACTTTCAGATAAATGGAAAGAAGAAACTCTCCCCCAATTCATTCTGTGAGACTTGATCATCTTGACACCAAAGCTAGGCATGAACTATATAAGAAAGGTAACTTCTAGTCCAAACTTCACACTTAGACAATGAGTATTATTAGCAAGTGGAATACAGGGGTATATTAAAAAGGTAATACATCATGACCAAGATGTGTTTCTTATAGGAATTAGAGAATACTTCAGCATTAGACAAAGTATTCTGTAAATAACGTTAACGGAGTAAAGATGAAAAATAATTATGATCAGCTCAAGATATAAAGTCAGTGTTTTCTATAAATTGTTACAAACTAGGAATAAAGAGGAATTTCTTTAATTTAATAAAGTATATCTGCTGCAAACTGACAGTATCATTCTTAATGGTAGATGTTAGAAGCATGCCCCTTAAAATGAGGCATAAAATTACGCCATCATCAGCACCACTTGTAGAATGTTGCAACAGCCTTCTCCTAGAGGCCTAAGTTAGAACAGTAAGACCAGAAAATAAAGAGAAAAAATAATAATTGAAAAGAAGAAAAGTTCTATTATCATCAATTGTATTATGTGGTTTTCTACTTAGAAAACCCAAAAGAATCTATAAATTATTAAAAATAATAAAGTTATTTCCTTATCAGCAGGGCACAAAAAATGTAGCCATAAAAAGAAGAGTAGTAAATTTGAAAATGTTAAAATTAGGAATTTCTGTTCCACAAAAGACACTATAAACAGAATGAAAAAACAATCTACAGTTGACAGATGATGTTTGCAATACATTAAAATGACAAAAAATTTGTATCAAGAATATACATAGAATTCCTATAATTCAATAAAAAAAGATACCAACAGTTAATTGAAAAATGCACAAAAGAAATGAGCGGGCATTTCACAGAAAAGGAAATACGATCAGACAATAAACATATGAAAAGATGTTCAATCTTATTAGTAATCAGAAAACCACATGAGCCATATGGAAGCCACAACGAGAAAGCATTTGATACCCCACTCTCTTAGCCACACACACATACACTCACACACACTATAATAATCATAATAGCAGCAGCAAAAATAAATAACAATAGCAAGTACTGACAAGGATATAGATCAATAAGAACTCCTAACACAGCTGCTGCAAGTAAACTAGTGCAACCATGCAAGAACTAACCATGCATATCCTCACCTAGAAATTTTACCCTTAGGTACATATCTGAAGCAGGGGATGGCAAACTATGGCCCAGGGGCCAAATATGGCCTTTTGCCTGCTTTTGTAAATAAAGTTTTATTGGAACACAGCTATATTCATTTATATATTGTCTTTTTTTTTTTTTTTTTGGAGACAAAGTCTCACTCTGTGGCACAGGCTGGAGTGCAGTGGTGCAATCTCGGCTCACTGCAACCTCTACCTCCCAGGTTCAAAGGTTCAAGCGAGTCTCATGCCTCAGCCTCCCAAGTAGCTGAGACTACAGGCATGTACCACCATGCCTGGTTAACTTTTGTGTTTTTAGTAGAGATGGGGTTTCTCCGTGTTGCCCAGGCTGTTCTCGAACTCCTGACCTCAAGTGATCCTCCCGCCTCAGCCTCCCAAAGTGATGGAATTACAGGCATGAGCCATGGCTCCTGGCCTTATATATTATCTATTGCTACTTTTGTAGTACAATTGCAGAGTCAAGTAGCAGATACCATATGATCCATGAAATCTAAAATATTTACTATCTGGCACTTTACAGAAAAAGTTTGCAGGCCCCTGTCCTAAAGAAATACTTGCTCATGAGCACAACAGACACATACAAGAACATTCAGTGTAGCACTATGCCTAACAGCAAAAAACTAGAAATAATCCACCAACAGGAAAACAGATAAATTATGACATATGTATGTAATGGGATGTTAGATTATTGTGCAAAAGAACAAATGACAGCTACATGCAACAGGGATTTATCTTAAAAGAATATTGAATGGAAGAAGTAAAAATAGAGAATATATACAACATCATCCCACTGAGATAAGGTTCAAGGGCATGATTTTCATAACACAGAAGAAGAAACAGAAACTGAGAAGCACTCATGTGTAACATCAACAGGATTGGTAATTTTCTCAGGTGAGGCAGGGAGCCTCTCCAGGTGT